GTGAATCATCTCCAGACTTTTTATCATGAAGTCCCAGTGTATGCATGTTTGCTTGTTTCTTTCTTTATAAGTTATATGCATAGATGTCTGTTCTAATGTGTTGTTTACATTATAAAGCATCTACAAACATAGAAAATTTGAAAGGATGAAAGATCACACACATTAAAGTTTATATATGAACTTCCCACGGCACATTTTGGATGAGAGGATGAGTATAATTCATGCAGGTGAAATGTTATTTAACTGATCCCCAGGTAATTGTTATGGCACAACTCTCATTTTCTCAAGTTTATGGCCCCAGCGTCAATGGGCATGAGACAGCATGATTATCTGTAGAAGTTTTATTTCTGTTTCAGTAGTATCATTTGGCATTCTCCTCCCCACAAAATTCACATTTGGTTCTCAGGAAAGTTGTCATATTTACCCTTGTCCCCAACCTGATGTCCCAAGTGCAAATTTGGGGTGGGAAACCGAGTGTAGACAGGTCAGTGTGTTGGTATCATACAGCTCAGCAATGCCCAGGTAATTCATGAACACACACACACACACACACACACACACACACCTGGGGCTACAGTAAGCCTGAAAAGTTACAAAGCCCTCTACTAGGAAACCCTGCCCACAAAAAGCTTTAAATTTAATGAATTGACTCTACTTCTGGTTCTTAACCTTTCTGGAGTCATGGGTCTCTTTGGAAATCTAATGAAATCTATGAGCTTTCTCCCCAGGGCAGGGAAAAAAATACTCATCTGACTATATATACCACTTCCGAGGGTGTGGAAACTTTTGGAGTTCTCAATGTGTGGACTCTGAGCCAGCAGCATCAGCGTTTTCTGGGAACTTAACTTGAGATGCCCCACACCCAAGCCTACTGAATCAGAAACTGTGGGGTGGGAATAAGCCCTCCAGGTATTTTTGATGAATGCTCAAGTTTGAGAACACTCCAGAGCAGAGGTTCTCACTGGCTTCCTTATTAGAATCACCTGGTGATTTTTTTTTTTTTTTAAAGCACTGATGCCTGGGCTCCAATCTCCTTTAATTAAATCAGTATCTTTGGAGGTGGAGCCTGGACACTAGGATTTTTAAAAGCTCTCGAAAGGAGTTACGCTCTGTGGACCAAGATGTTAATAACCCAGGCTACTTCTGACGATCCCCAAACTAGAAGCACGATAGCACTGGAGAAGAACTTAGCCGCAGCCTGACTCATCACTTTCATTTCCAGAGGAGGACGCTGAGAAGCTTTTCCATGCTGCACAATTATGGGATGTCTAGGCAATGTGTAGGCACCCTGTTCTCCTTCCCCTGTCCCAGGAAGTGCCACACACTGAAACAGTGATCCCGAAACCCTCCCGAAGAAGCCTGGCCAGCGAGGACATATGTAGTTAAAAGTAAACTGGATCACAGCATTTTTCAGTATAGATCATTGACATCAGCTTCAAGTGGTTTTTCCTCTTGGGCTCAACATCTGCCATTAATTTTCCTTGAACTCAGTTCATTAAGCTTTCTTAGGAAGGAGCTTAATGCTCTGCTTGGCCATTTGAAAGCGGCAGAGCTGACATGGGGGACCACACAGCAGAGCCCTTCCGTTGAGAGGTGGGACAGGCCGGGGAGTGTGCTAAGGTCGGTGGGGGAGGCATGGAGTGGGACCAGGAGTCCTGGGGTTAATGCCAGCCCTGCCACTGACTCACTCCGTGACCTTGGGCTTCTTGCTCAAGTGTTTCATGCCTCGATTTCTTCACTTCTCAATAAGGGTGATAAAAATAGCACAACTACCCCATGGGTTGTGACTACTAAAGGGGTTTGACGCATGTCAAGACTGATTTCCACATCAGGTCACACTCTCGGACAGTGTAAACTCGTGGGGGGTGGCACCAGGGAGCAGGGATGGGGGAAGCCACCCTGCAGCTGTAGGCGAGGCAGAGAGCTCAGGAACCTGCCTTGTCTTTCCTTGTCGATTTGTTTTTTGTTTTTTTGAAGATTTTATTTATTTATTTGACAGAAATCACAAGTAGGCAGAGAAGCAGGCAGAGAGAGAGAGAGGAGGAAGCAGGCTCTCCACTGAGCAGAGAGCCCAAAGTGGGGCTCGATTCCAGGACCCTGGGATCATGACCTGAGCCGAAGGCAGAGGCTTTAACCCACTGAGCCACCCAGGCGCCCCTCCTCGTCGTTTTTTAACCCTGAGGATTATAGAAATCTGCTTCTGCATTCTGGCTTCTTCTACACAGAGGGGTAACATCAATGAGTAGAAGTAAAAAGCAGTCGGGGGTTGTGTGTGGCACGGGGGGATGATTGGGTAAGGTTGTCTTCATATAGGCGCTTTTGAAAGATTATATAAAATGCTGATTTTGATTATGATATTTTATTTTATTTTTTAAAAAGATTTTATTTATTTATTTGACAGAGAGATAAATCACAAGTAGGCAGAGAAGCAGGCGGCGGTGGGGGGGGTGGCGGGGAGCAGGCTCCCTGCTGAGCAGAGAGCCTGATGTGGGGACTTGATCCCAGGACCCTGGGATCATGACCTGAGCTGAAGGCAGAGGCTTAACCCACTGAGCCACCCAGGCACACCTATTATTTTATTTTTTAAAGATTTTGTTTATTTGACACAGAGAGACAACAAGAGAGGGAATTCAAGCAGGGGGAGTGGGAGAGGGAGAAGCAGCTTTCCCACTGAGCAGGGAGCCTGATGAGGGGCTTGATCCTATGGCCCTGGGATCATGACCTGAGCTGAAGGCAGACGCTGAGCCACCCAGGTGCCCCTTGATGAGGATATTTTAATTGATCATTTGCACTAATTCAGGTTAGAATGAATGAATGAATGAACAGGATACATTGTGACATTTTAAAAAAATAACAAAATTTTAGTACTTAGAGTTCTCTATAGGAACTTGGAATTAGCATCAGAAAGCCTCCCTTCCTGGACGCTGTTAGCAGATTTAGTGAGGTTTGGAGCACCGTGGCTGAGAGTGGGGCTCTTACCCTCAAATAGGCGGACGATCTGGGTATAAAGCCCATCCCTGATTTTTCACTTGGTGTTTGTGGGGCCCTGAGAAAGTTTATTTTTTTCTAAGCCTCATTTTCCTCTTTCTTACATGCAAGGAGCTAATCATAGTTTCTATATCATAAGGTTGTGTCAGGTTAAAAACAAAACAAAACAGACTTAGAGTAGGAAAAACTTTATTCAGAAGGACTATTGCAACACGAGAATCTCCAATCTCAGGAATCTGCAGGCGTCTCAAAAACAAACAGAAAAGGCTTTTCTTTTCCAGGCTGGGGTAAGCAGGGCTTGGCAGCGATAGGAGGTTGGGCAAGCGCATGGCATGCTGGCCCGGGTCTGACAGGAAATGTGTCTCCCTGTGGTCATCCGATTCCCCGGATAAGCTAATAAAGGGACACTTCCGTGCTTGCTCAGGCTTGGGGGCAAGCAGAGGTCAGGGGCCTGCAGGGAGGAGAGAAGCCTCCCTCAAGTGTGGGGAAGACAGAGCAGCATGTGAGGCATGAGCGGTTGCGGTGGGTTGTTTTGAGGACCAAGTGAAATCATGCGTGTAAATTACTTACCAAGGTTCCTGGGTATTACCGATAAGTGCTGGGGTTATTTATTTGTTTATTTATTTAAAAAGATTTTATTTATTTATTTGTTTGTCAGAGAGAGAGGGAGAGAGAGCACAAGCAGGGTGAGTGGCAGGCAGAAGGAGAAGCAGGCTCCCCGCTGAGCAAGGTGCCCGATGCAGGGCTCGATCACAGGACCCTGGGATCATGACCTGAACTGAAGGCAGCCACTTAACCGACTGAGCCACCCAGGGGCCCTGGGGTTATTTCTTATGACAAATGCTTGATTCTCAAATGCTTGAGAGTAGCTTTTTCTTTGTTTCAAGCACAATAATTCAGTCACACCTACATGACAATGGTAACACCACCCGGAGCACAGCTACTATGTTCCAGGCCCAAGGTTGGGGAGAGGTCTGGACTTGGATGAGATGGCATTTCTGAGCTCAAGGGCTTCCCCATCCAGAGGGAAAGAAGGACATTTTATGTGATCTAACAGGGAAGGGCAACCATTCTGACAGATGCAGGATACCACGGGAGAATGTGGGGGGGCTGTCAGTTAACTGGGGGGATTATTGGGAAAGAAGAACCTGGACAAGACGAGAGCCCTGAATGGAGACTGTGAGGAGAAGAAGCGTTTACCCTGATGAGCTGGAGGGAACGAGCATTCCCACGCACATGAACCAGCACATGCAAGAACAGGGTCTGAAAGCCTGTTTTTAGACCCTGTTTATGTCGTGAGGCCAAAGACCCAGGTTCTGGGTGGAGTGATGCTGGGTCTGCAGGGGCTAGGTGATGAAAGCCACCGAAAGGGTCGGGGTGTGGTATGTTCTGCAGTTGGGACAGTCATCTAGCATCATTGTGGTAGTTCAGTGTCTGCCCCCAGTGCAGATGCCAGTGCTCTCCGAGACCAGGGTTTCAGGAGAGCCATGTGCATGGAGGACTGGGAGAGTTCAGCCCAGAACTGCTGCCTTGAGGAGCCCATGAAACATTCAAAACCAGATATTTAGGGGCGCCTGGGTGGCCTCCTTGTTTCACCTTGGGGAACTTGAAAATTTCTTGGATGATGGGTTGCCTTTCAGCAGCAGGGAAATGGAGACTTAGAAAGTAACTTTCCCAGGATCCCTTAGCTGGTGTGTGGTGGGGCTGGGGTTTGAACTCATCAATAGAATGGATTTGACTCCTTATTAGTGCCTGACTCATAAAACCAAACTTAATGTCTTAATATAATATACAAAATTAATAATACCTATTACCTTAATCCTGGTCATACACTGACAAAAATTATTACCCAAGTCAACTTTTCTAAAAAATCTTTTTTTTTTTTTTTTGTTGCATCAAGAGAAGCCATTTGGAGAAAAGGTGAAAAAAAATGTGGTAGTCATTCAGTCTTTTCCCCTCCCTCCCAAATACACACACACAATCTTTATTATATCACTTCTGAATTATGATTTTAATTTAATATACATAAGAAAACTTTGCAAGTACAAGCAGGCTCAAAAGACTAGTCACAAGTAATTCAAACACATTAGCTCAAAAGACACCAAATAAAATTATTTATGATACATCAATCATTCTGTTTTTCTCATAAATCTTGAAACAGAAGTTGGTCCTAGTTTCTCATTTTTAATGTGCTTTCCTCCATTGAATTATGTAAACATTCCAAAGATATAAACATCTCTATATACAAAGAAGCAATGTGGAAGTATGTGTGACCTTACACATTTTTCCCTCAAAACAAATTATGACAAAGTTGCTTTGAACCTGCTCTTCAATTCTAGAAGGAAGTGAATCTGAAAGATACAGAAACCTAACTTAAGTGACCAATCTATTTTTTATTTGAAAATAGCATAAACATCTGAATTGAACCAAGCTGCTTGGAAAAGTGGAAGGAGTAACTCTGTTGTCCCTAAGCTTTATCAGTTATGATGCAGACAGGAATTGCCAGCCCCGGGAAAAAGAATAAGTCTAATGTAATGTCCTACATGCCATCAAGTTAGAGCAGCTCATCAAGGAGATTTAAACTGGTCCGTCTCCCTAGAAGATACAAAGGTTAATTTAATTATGACAACATTCTTTTATTTTTTTTTTTTTGCTTTCTTCTCTCCTCCCTCTCCCCTTCCCCATCACCCCTCTTCTTCCTGATTACTCCTGCCCTGTATTGTTACCTATTGAATATTTTCAACACTTTTCTGATTGCTTCAGAGCTTTCATCTGTCACTTACCTGCACTTAGGTTACAGGAGTTGAGGCTTCATTTGATTTTGCATCATTTATTATTATTATTAAGATTTTTATTTATTTATCTGAGAGAGAGTGAGAGAGAGCATGAGCAGTGGGTAGGGGCAGAGGGAGGAGAAGCAGTTTCCCCACTGAGCAGGGAGCCGGAGGCGAGACTCGATCTCAGGACCCTGAGGATCACGACCTGAGCCGAAGGCAGATGCTTAACCAACTGAGCCCCCAAGGTAACCTTGCCTCATTTATTAAAACCTTTTTTGATAAGGGGCACAGAGAACTCAAGTGATGTTTACAAAGTATACATCTAATAAGATGTATACAACTAGTAAGTAGAGGAGTGAGGATTCGAAACCAGGGAGGTGAAGCTCAGAGACCATGCTCCTTTTCTTGAAGCTGCGCCAACTCCCCAGTTTTTGTATCTGAGTAAATAACAATCAGTACAATGTGCTGAGCCTTCTAACTGTTGACGTGCATACATATTTATCACCCCATGTTCAACATGCAGCAACCTTGGGAAGTAGGTTTAACCACCACATTTTGCAGACAAAGAAACATTGCGTGCAACGGACTCTGCCAAGACTGCACAAGCTGGCACCCAACCCAGGTCTCATAGTTTGTATTTCAGGCATGTTTCCATCTATTACCTCATGGAAGGCCCGTGCCAGGCTCAGGAATCTCTCTCAATAAATACTTTCTGCTTGAACGCGATGGGTCTGCACACTCTCTGTAAAAGGTCTGCAAGAGCCTGTCGGGGTAACTAAGACTCGGGGAGCGAGGAAGCTTGCTGGGGTCACTCAGCAAGGAGGCTTTGGAACTAGGCTGCGAGCCCAAGTCCCCCCACAGCATCCCACGGGGTCGGGAGGTGGGGGTGCTGACCAGCTGGATGAGAGGCAAGCCGCCAACAAGAAAGGAATTCTCAGCAGACCAATTGCTAAAAAATGCAGCTCTCATGTGCTCTGAAATATCTGGTAGTGAAGTTTCATGATTGTCTGCACGTTACTTCCCGATGGTTCAGGGAGAGAGTGAGCAGATGTGAACAGTTTGTGCCTCCAGGTGAAAAAATATAGGTGGTCATCCTACTGTTCCTTTACATTGTATGCAGATTTGAAGTTTTTGAAATAAAAACTTGGCGAAGAAGGAAGGGAGGAGAGGAGGGGAGGATGGGAGGGGAGGGAGAGGAGAGGAGGATGGGAGGGGAGGGGAAGGAGGGAGGGAGGACGGGGAATTCAGGCAGTGTGCATTCATCCTCGGATTCTACGGTTACCAGGCACGGACAACCGTGGATCCTTCTTCTGTCTTCTGACTATCAAGTGATTTATTCATTAAAATTGCTAAGCTACAGGGGCATCTGGGTGGCTCAGTCGGTTAAGCAACTGCCTTCAGCTCAGGTCATGATCTCAGGGTTCTGGGATCGAGTCCTCGCTTTGGGCTCCCAGCTCAGCAGACCATCTTCTTCTCTCTCTCCCCCTGCTGCTCCTCCTGCTTGTGTTCTCTCTCTCTCTAATACATAAATAAAATCTTAAAAAAAATAAATAAAATTGCTAAACTACAGTATCTGTATAGATGACCCTCACTGAAAAGAGTCAGTGTACTGGTACCTATGGGGATGTTTTAAAATTTGTAGATAATCCTCAAAATGCATAAACTACTATCTTCTATTTAAAGGGCAGCTGTATTTGTCATAAATCTGGCAATGAAAATTTACTTCCTAATTAAATATATGATTCTTTTCTGTGTAGGCAGAAAAAGAAATAATGAAAGTGTTTGAAATGAGCTGATTTAGCAAGCATGAAATCATTTTGGATGAATTACAAGATTTAGATGCTCAATATTCTTTTTTTTTTTAAATATTTTATTTATTTATTTGAGAGCGAGAGACAGTGAGAGAGAGCATGAACGAGAAGGTCAGAGGGAGAAGCAGACTCCCCGTGGAGCTGGGAGCCCGATGCAGGACTCAATTCCGGGACTCCAGGATCATGACCTGAGCTGAAGGCAGTCGCTTAACCAACTGAGCCACCCAGGTGCCCCAAGATGCTCAATATTCTTAACTGCTCTCATGAAAATAATTTTGATGGATTACTAACTGGTAGTTTTCTTTTCTTCCCATGTGCATTTAAAGACCAAAACATTTAAATACAACACAATAGAATTGAAAATTTATAGCCCAGGGTTGCCTGAATGGTGCTTTCTGGTTAAATGTCCTACTCTTGATTTTAGCTCAGGTCGTGACCTCAGGGTCTTGAGATGAAACCCTGTGTCAGGCCCCTGTGCTCAGCATGGAGTCTGCTCGAGATTCTCTCTCCCTCTGCCCTTCCCCCAACAGTCTCTCTAAAATAAACAAATAAGACTTTGGAAGGAAAAAAAAATTATAGAACAAAAATCTCAATAGTCAGTTAAATTTATATGTAAATTATATAACATTTTAATTTATATTTTGTATATTTTAAAATTTATGATTGTTAAACTTTTTTTGAATAATATAAGCTAGAAGGAAGGAAAAAAGTCAAAGTCTTCTTACTGATCATTTACCATTTGAGTTGGATTTCCTTTAGGTCTTTTTAAAATCCATACTGTTTGTTTTTTCTTATGTACATAGTTGTTTATTCTCTATACTTTTCTTTGTATCTTGCTCTTTTTATTTTTATTTTTGTCTTTTTAAAAAGATTTTATTTTTAAGTAATCTCTGTATCCAACATGGGGCTTGAACCCACAACCCAAAGATAAAGAGTCACATACTCTTCCAACTGAGCCAGCCAGGTGCCCTTATACCTTGCTCTTTTAAAATAACACTAAGTTGGGGCACATGTGGGTCAGTGGGTTAAGCCTCTGCCTTCAGCTAGGGTCATGGTCTCGGGGTCCTGGGATCGAGCCCCACATCTGGCTCTCCATTTGGCGGGGAGCCTGTCTTCCCCCTCTCTCTCTCTGCCTGCCTCTCTGCCTGCTTGTGATCTCTGTCAAATAAATAAATGCAATCTTTAAAAAAAATAAAATAACACTAAGTCATAAGCATTTTCAATATTATTGTAGTTTAAAAAATATTTTTAAGGTAGGGGAAAATGATAACAAAATAACTCCAGAGGATATAGAAGAAATCAGGTGGAGAGCAGGGGAACTGGGTGGATAGAAGACAGGGTAGGATACAAGCTTTCCAAGTGAATACCAATATACCAAGTGTATGTTTCTGAGACACCGAGTTTTTGACCTATATGCGTAACAATGGTTGTTAGAAATTTAAAGAAAATGATTTGGATCATTTAAAATGGGGGCATAATATTATCTTAAGTAGATGGACCACAATTCATATTTATTTACATAGTTCTTCCTTATGGAACTTGTGAGTTCTGTTTAATTTTTTCCTCCTACACCAATTTGTGTTTTGAAATATTTCCATGTGTGTTTGAACAATTCTCTGGTCTGGCTTGGTCATGAGTTGAAATAATCACACTTTCTTACTGTCCACAAGAGTTTATTTTTGTTTTTTATATTGTTAATAATTTACAATCATATCTGGAGACTAAATCCTCAGTGATTTCCTTTTATCCCCCCACTTGAGAACCCTCTCTCTCTTCTAGATCAGAAATCTCATCAAAATATAGGTTTTGCATTGGTATGTCCTATTCTTTTTCAGGGAAAATACAATGCCTGACATGTGTTCCACATATTTCTTGGCAACTTTATTTATTTAAGATTTTATTTATTTGAGAGAGAGAGAGAGAGAACGCACTTGAGCTGGGGGAAGGGAGAATCAGACTCCCCCCCGAGCACAGAGCCCACCTTCACTCAGGGCTCGATCCCAGGACCCTGGGATCATGACCTGAGCCAGAGTCGGATGCTTAACTTACTGAGCCACCCAGGCGCCCAATTCTTGGCAATTTTAACCTGCTATCTAGATCTATTTAGGGAGTAGTGAGAACATTCTGGGCTGGACCATGACGTGTCATTGTTGTCAATATGTGTGAATGACAAATGCCCCGTCCCTGGGGATCTTCATATAAATAATAGTAAATGTTATTGTAAACTTCTACATGTATTCAGAGTCCTTTCCCTCCAGGACTGTGGTCAGCAGGGTGTGAGACTGAAAAGTTTGGTCCCCTTCAGCCTGTGTATATTAACACATGCAGAGAGCTGAACCGGGTTCTCGGCCACACAATGTCTCCATTCCCCTGAGCCGACAGAGAAGGCTGCCTGGACTTTCCAGCCTGGGTTTTGGCAGCTGCCGCCCTCTGCACCCTCCCTCCATCGGCCCAGGGGGCCTTCCCTGGTCTCCTGTATGCTGAGAAGAAAGCACCAGGACCTCAACTTACCCCACAGCAGCCGCAGCACTGACAGTCCCCACACAGGGTCCCCAGGAGGCCGTTGACGATCTGGATGACACAGAGAAGCATCTGGATCCCTCCTACGACCAGCAGGATGGAGAAGAGGGTCAGATTCCAGGGCACCACATTGACAGGTTCTTGGCATTGCCTGTACAAGCTCTCATCCTTGAGGTAATCCCTGTTGGGGACATGGAGTTGAGAAAGGAGTTGTTTGTAAAATGTATGCAGTACCTGGGCCAGAAAGACACCACCATGATTTTCCTTTTGTAATATTTTCCATCCCAAGCACAAGGTCCCTAAGAAAAAATGTCCCATAATAGGCACCTGGGTGGCTCAGTCGGTTGAGTGACTGCCTTTGGCTCAGGTCATGATCCTGGAGTCCTGGGATCAAGTCCTGCATAGGGCTCCCTGCCCAGTGGGGAGTTTGCTTCTCCCTCTGAGCCTCCCCTCTCTCATGCTCTGCCTCTATTCTCTCTCTCTCAAATAAATAAAATCTTTTTTTTTAAAAGAAAAATATCCCATAATAACAATTTTAAAAACAACACCTAACATATACTATGTGCCGGCCAGATCCTGTTTTAAACATTATACACATATCCACTCATTTTTTAGTTTTTAAAGGACTAATTCTAGCCAAATTGTGAATTTGATTCCGCTGTATTTTTGTTAACATGCGAAGATTTAGTTACTTCCTTAAAATTCCTTAATTCCTTCCTTAAAAAAAGGAAGAAATCATCTGCTGTTTTAATACATAGTTTATGAAACTTTGAAATAGGAGAAACTGCAATATCTTTATAAAACATATATATTAGGAGTTCGATGCAATATAAAGGGCATTGTGTCTTGAAGGAGAAATACGAAGTATATTATCTTTAAGACACAAAGAAGAGTAAAGTAGATAAATGTGGATTATTATAATTTCTTCTCATATTCTTAGAGCTACAAATTGGTCTCTCCTTCTTCCTTTATGTATCCTCTCTCCTTTCAAGGGCTCAGTGGGAAACTCCATCTGGCTACTAAATTAACATCTACCATATTGTTTCCAGATCTTTTTGACGACTCCTGTTCCTGACAAATTAAAAATTCTCATTTTAAATCCACTCTGTATTAAGATCTTCAAAAATCTTTGGAGTGAAGGAAGATACCCTGGAGTTTAATAGAGCAGAAGGGATAAAGGCATTTTATGCCTTAAGCAAAATGGGGCATTTTGCTCTTGATTTCAAAATAAAACATTGTTTGTAGCATTGATTCACCTTTCCATAATTGCACAGTTCCTAGCTGCTCATTAGCCTTGGGACTTGCGTCCTTATTATAAAGTGGGAATAACATCAAGTCGTAGGGCTGCTGTGACAATGACATGAATCAATACCAGCGAAGTGCTTAGAACAGCACCTAGCATGTAGCAAGTGCTCAATAAAGCACTAGTACTGTTACTATTTTACTTAATCTGAGCAGTGTGGTCTAAAGCAAAGAGGCTGGTATTTTGGATTCAGTTGGGCCTGGGTTTGAACGAGAGCATTCTTCTCACTAGTTGTGTATTCTTCATACGAGTCTTACCCCCACCCTTAGCATCAGTTCTTCATTTATAAAATGTGCTGAGAACAACCTCACCATTGTGAAGACTCATGAAGATAAGGTAGCTTATGTATTGTACAAAACTTCCTTTTTTAATAACTTATTTTTTAAAACTCTTCTTTCTGTTCTGCATTTTTCTATGCAGTCCTCTCTGTCTTTACAATTTTCAAACTTGATTATAGAAAGTCATAAAGACATGGTATTTACCAGGCACATTCTAGAAAGAAAAGATTCTAAGAAGTAGTTGGCAATCTCCAGTTCTTTCCCTAGGCAAGAGTCTGTGCAGAGATGGGACGACAGTGCCTCCTGGCGGTGAGATTAGTAAAATGCTCATGGGGGCTCTTGAAAACAAGGGTTGAGTTTGGATACCTGGAGAATTCTTCTCAGCCCCATCTCTGCTGCTGCCTCCCCGCTCATAAACCACCACGAATACCCATTCTAGACCCTTCTACTCTCCTCCCAGATTCTCAGGCTTAGATCTCTGAGATTCTGGCCATGACTACTCTGTGAAACTCTCCAACCCCAGGAGAGAGGCGGCCCTAATTTTTCATGGTCCCAGGAGCTAATCATGTTTCCGCATTCTGTGAAGCAAGGAGAGCTGAGTCAGTTTAAAGCCCCTTAACTGGAGTTTTCAAGCATCTCATTATTGTGAAGGCTATTTCCACCTGAGCGGCAGCAATCCCATCCACATCCAGATAGAAAGCCATGGGTTTCCTGAAATTCACTTCTTGCAAGCAACAAAGGCAGCAGATGGAAGGAACAGGGAAGCCCAAATGCATTGCCCAGGGTGCTCTGCCTGGCTTATTCAAGGGGCTACATCTTCCAGAACAGACTCCCCGGTGTTTCTCCTGCCCTCAGCTGGCTTTGGTAGCCCTCCTGTGCTTCTCAGCACTCTGTGTCCCTCCGGAACAGAGCCCCCAGGACCACATGCTGCCATTGTCTGTCCATGCGCCTGTCTTCTTTCTAGGACCGTACACCTACAGGGGCACAGACCACTTTTCCTATGTCTGTCCCCAGTTCTAGCACAGGGAGTGGTCAGTCACTAACAGCAGCTGTCATGTCCTGGTCCTGCCCGTGCAGGGCCCTGGCCTAGCGGGTTCACACCATCCTTCCCAATTCTGCAAGGAGAGGCTATTTTACTGCAACAGCACCGCGCATAAAGTAGCCTCCACGACATATTCACTGAATGAACGAACATATGCAGATTAAGAACTTGAGTCCAGTAAGCGGCAGGGCCTGGATTTGATCTTGGGTCTATCAGACTCCACAGCCGATGTTCTTCATCATTACACAACCCCCCCCCCCGCTTGAGTAATTATATCCCTTTAATTATATTTACAATATAATGTATTTGTGAAATTTGATTTATACAATATATTTATCATAGCATGTCAATTAAGATTTACCCATCCCATGGTAGAGAGAATATTCTCTTTGGACCTTCATGTGGGTGGTTAGAAATTAAAGCACAAAATCATTATGAAAGCATAACATTTCAGAAAGTTCTAATGCATAAAAATGAATTCTGTTCGCAGTCATGAGTTCTGTTCATGATGATGAATAGTAAGGCGGAATGTTCAGCTCACAGCCTGTGGCAGTAATGGTGCCAAGAGCTTTCTGGACATCAGGTTATTTCCTTCTTGCCTGAACCTGTGAAGCAGAGCTTGCCGTCATCCTTCCTTGACCGAAGATCACACCACCGGCAGGTGGCAGGGGTGGGTCTGGTCCCCAAGTCCAATCAGGCCGAAAGCAAAGCTGTTTCACATCCCCGAGTGTTGCCTGCTCCATGAAACACCCCATCTCTCTCGGTCAATGTGGCTTTTGGCTCTAGGGAATGTGTTCAAGAGCAGCTCAGGGAGTTCCATGCTGATGAGGAATCTTTGAAGTACAAATGCAGATGGTCTCAACTAAAAGTCCAGGCAGAACCTGTATTGTACTCTCTTCCATGTTTTTGGTGTGAGGGAGCTCACCTTACCGCACCTTCCCCGGGGAGCGTTGCAGCCCAACTGGGCTGGTCGAGTACTGTGCTTGGCCATTTCCCTTATCCCTCCCCCACTGCTAACCGTCCTTGGCGGTTCCTCTGGCTCTCCCTCCTTGTAGCTGCCCCCCTGCCCGATGCAAGCTGCTTCCCGTTCAGCAGCTCAGGGTCAAGGTAGACGTAGCCAATTGTCTCAGAAAGGAAGACCTTGGATGGGAGGAAGTCCTACTTCAAAGGAAGCCAAGAGGGTATATCTCAAAATGTCCTAGGTTTCTTTTTCCTTCTAGAATGCTTCTTTAGTATGGTTCTTGTGACAGAAAATGTTAAGTCTTTGCTCTTTTAATATGATTGCCAACACAATTTTCTGAGGAAAACAACAAAACAGGCTACGTTCTATGGTATTGAAGAGTCCCAAATTTTGTGCCGCAAGTTGGAAATCTCAGAGTCCACCTTAATAACTTCTGCCCTGTCTCCTCATACCTCATCCTGATGATTTCATCTCAGACGGTCTCTGAAATCTGTGTCCTTCTTTTGAACCCCAATTCCACTGCCTTGCAGGTGTCCATAATCTTATCTGGATTACTACTCCAACCTCTTACTTTTCTCTCTTTGTTACTGAGCCCTTGTTCTTTCTCCATATCACTGCCATCACGATCATCCTAGAAATCCACAAGTGGTGGTGGCATGTCCTGCTTGAAGTCCTCTGCTGGTCCCCAAGGTCCCAAAGGTCTGGCCTGCCTGTCTATTGCACCCCCATGTGGTGTCCCCTTCTGTTCCTCTCTGCCACATTCAGCCTGAACTTCAGGCTCACAGTGATGGGACATTCTCTGAGCATGTTGCTCCTTCCCCTGGTTGTCCCTGCTCTTTTCCCTGCCTGAAATGTGCTTCTCCTCCCTCTTTGGAAGACACATTTTTTTTTTTTAAAGATTTTATTTATTCATTCGACACAGAAAGAGTGATCACAAGTAGGCAGATAGGAAGGCAGAGAGAGAGGAGGAAGCAGGTTCCCTGCTGTGCAGAGAGCCCGATGCGGGGCTCGATCTCAGGACCCTGAGATCATGACCTGAGCTGAAGGCAGAGGCTTAACCCACTGAGCCACCCAGGCGCCCTGGAAGACACATTTTTGTTCTTCTCTCCAAACCAGCTCTCGTCACCTCCTCAGGGAAATTTCCCTCGCACTCCTCCATTTCATCCTTTTCTGCACCGTGAAGGTCTGGCAGGTACGGGCACCCTGACTAGCCCCCTGCTCACTGGGGCAGGAGTCACATGTCTCTCCTACCCTGCTCCACGTCTGCGACAGGCTTCAGCATAAAGTAGCGTGCCGACCAAGTGTTCGTTTGCTTTATAATGTTCTCCTTCTACTCATGACTAGCTATGGAGCCCTGGGAAGATTAGCCTTTTTGAATTACATTTTTCTATCTAAGGATAAGAATTCTCCTCAGATTTATTAGGAAGATTAAGTGAGATAATGCATGCAAAACCACTTAGCCCCTTAACGTTAAGGAGAAGGAGGAGGGGGGAAGAGGAAGAGGAGGAGAGAGAAAAGGAAGAAAGAAAGAGAGGAAGGAAGAAAGGAAGGAGTGGCAGTGGCTGCCACTGCCCTTCGGTGATAAGGAAAGAGTGACAACTGTCCCGAATCCTTTTGCGGGAGCTCACGCATCCAAGTGATTCCTCCGTTCTCCTCACTGGTAACTGTGCATGTGTGTTAGGTCTGCAGCTACAACAGCTGCTGCCATGCCCACGCACTGGAACCCCCTGGATAAGAAGTATCCACTGAGGCAGAGGTCCCTGAGCTACGCTACATGGAATCTATAATTTGCACAAAAAGCAGAGCCTGCAAATCACTATCACTCGTGTTCTAGAGAAGACACTGTAACTTGGGCTCAGAAAGATTGAATCTGAGTTTCAGTCACTAAGAAACAGCATAGCTCGGGGCAAGCTGCAGGTCCTCTCTGGGTTCAGCTTTCCTCCCTCTGAGGGAGAGTTAATCCCACAGGCTTTTTGTAAGCATCAAATGAAACACGTGGGCGAGAGAAGTGTTCACCAGAAAACACCGAGTGACAGAGGTTCAGTTATTACTGAAAGAAAATCAGGATGAGCCCCGGCAGTCGGAAGGAAGGTTTAGAGCTGGCATGGGAGGCTGTGAGTTCTTGCCTCAGAAGACAGGACACAGGATGTAGGAGACAATGGAATGCTGAGGAAAACCTGCCAGGTCGCAAAGAGGTGACACGCTTCACCTAGAGTCCCCCACCCCCACCCTGAAAGCCCTTCCTGTGCAAGTTGTGGCCTATTTCAGGCCTTGTACAGAGAGAGAGGACTTGTACCTTCAGTGGGATTAAATGCCAAAGTCAGGGCATGAGGGAAAAAAAAAAACAACCATGGGTAGTCAAATGACTTTTAAATATTCTACAAATCACCTGGAAAGGGTAGTATCCACGGCTTTGTAATAAGCCCCTATCCAGCCATATTTACTCACAGTGTAGTTTGAAGTCTCTACGTAGACCTCATGGGAGGCAAACCTCTCCCCTCTCACGTAGAATTATCAAAGCCAAGCCATGCACAGAGGAGGGTGCAGAATTCTGAAATGCTCCTGCTTGCCCACAACATCAACTGTACCCTGTTTTCTTTATTAAACCTCGGTGATCTGATACCAGTTCATGAGCGGGTCAGTTGTGAGGAGAAGGCATAATGACATATAGGAAACCGGCCATTACCGGGTAACGGGGAGGTAGATGGCGGTGATGTGCGTGGAAACTTGTTTCAACAGAAGGACAGAATAGTTTGAAAAGTACTTTCCTGTCCTTCCCCCACACTGGCATTTCCTGTAGCGGCCCACAGACCAGCTGTCACTCTCCTGACCTTGGGCATCCAACCCATTCCCTCCCAAGCAGGGAGTGGCTGTGCCCCTAGAGAGTGTGAGGGCCTAAGGCCATCATGTTGCCTTGGGGGGGGGGGGCGTGGGGCCCGGGTTGTAGGGTTGTATTTCCTTTCTCCCTCCTTTGTTTGGGACCGAGACTTATCCTAATTGATTTTAAGTTCGGCGTTTATGTAACAATAAATAGAAAAGTGCTTCCTACCGCACTGAGGCTGTGGGTAGAGATAATAGTAGGAGCGGCCTTGAGAGGAGACAACCTGGAGTTTCAAAAGAAACACACCGCCAGGAAGGAGAGAGTAAGCTACCCGGTGAAGAACCTCAGGAAATGGATCCGGTGTCCAATTTCTGTGCTCATGCAGGCCAATCCCAAGGCAGCTGGACATTTCCAACAGTCCTCTGCCAGAAAAGGGGGCAGTCCACAATATAATCAATGCCTTCAGGAATCTCTGTCTCTGATGAGGATACTAGAGGCCTGGACCCCTGTATAATGGCAGGGAAGCTCTCTTACCGGAAGCCCTTGTGGCCCGTATCACCACCAAACCAGTGCTCTCTGTCTCCCCACCGAAAGTCTGCTTCTGTGGGACTTTACACTCTCATGGAAATTAATACATAGAGTGTTCAGATTTCTTTAGGCATGGACCCATCCTCCCCGTGGAGGAGGACCCCACAACTGCGTTTCCTGACCACCTCTATGTGTATCAGTCAGTGTGCCAGGCAGTGAAGAACAAAGCTGAAATGGCTCCAGCCCTCCTGGAGGTCAGACGCTGGTGCAGCACTGCCTTGTAGACCATCGGTGATGATGGAAATGCCCTGTATCTGTGAGTGTCGATGCAGTTGCTACGAGACACATACAGCTTGCTGGTCCTCGAAATATGGCTAGTTGATTGAGAAATTTGTAACTTTATTTCATGTAAATGAATTAAAGTTTGAACAGGTACATATGGCTACTGGCTACTGCACTAGACTGTGCAGTCTGTGGACAGAAGGGTGCGTAATACAGAAAGACTAGAACTCGAAATCAAGACACGAGTTGGAGCTGCCTTCTGCCTTCACCCACCCGTGTAAGTTTGAGCAAGCCAAATTTAGTATGCCTGCCTTAGCTTACTAACCTTACTAAACCTTGCTAAACTTACAACCTCTTAAGGTTGCTGAGGGGAGTAAATTATAAATTGGTGAGCAAAGAAGTTCTTTATCAACTACAAAGTTCAATGAAAATATGAAGCGGTATTTTAATGCGTTCTGTTGACATGAATTCTCCTGAAGAATCTGCAGTATCTTCAATGTCATTTTCCATAAACTCACACCTTAAAAAGTTGTTTAGTCAGAGAGCATTTGGGGTGTTAGTGAAAGCCTTTGCGCCCTGTTACTGGGTAGTCATTCTTGTTTTCTGTTATAAGATTTTCAGTGGATGCCACCGTGTTCTGTTTACTGTTTACTAATATTACAAGCTGCCTCATGTTGTTGCTTGTAAATGTCTGAGTGTTGGTCATGGCACTGCAGACCTCCTCTCAGGCCAGCTGAAGCACCCTCTCTTGTTATGTCTCCTGGCGTCTAATGTCAAAAGCTCAATTAGAGGTGAGATCTTGGGCAACTTCACTCCTGCCACACTCCAGCTCTGCCTCAGAGGAGTAAGGCGCCCAAGACTCGTTAGATGAAGGGGACGGGACCTGTGCAGGGCTCCCCTTGGGCCATTTACCTGCCCGTGCCCCTTGTGGAGACACAGGGCATTGCAGGATGTACCTTACCCTTCGTGGAAGGGGTAGCCCCACGTTCTGTTGCCCATGAGACATTTAGGACCCTTGTTGATTGAGATGGCCGAGATAACAAATGAATATCCAGCACCCAAGAATCCAATCACAGCAAATATTGTGGAGGTGAACATCTGAAAGAGAAGGAGAGAGACAGGCAGGTTCTTAAGTGTTCCCGAGGTTACCCCCAGCACACCTGACTGTTGTTGAACATGGGGACTCCAGGGAAGTTAGGGGTAAGAGCCAGTCTTCATAGTAGGTGGGGCCAGTGGGGTCTCCCAGAAGGAATTTTGGTATCTGGTGTCCCCTTCTCTCCCCCATCCCCATATCTTTACTCGCTCATGGATGGCTGACATGCTAGTTCTGGCTGATCCCTTGGAACCATGGTTTTTAACTTTATTAAGGAAAGACTCTCCTCCTAATCTCCCTCCTTCTCAGGGCTAATATGCAAGGCCAGCCTATTTAGACAGATTTTTTTAAATACATTTTTAATGCTGTGGTTTTCTTTTTTTCTTTATAATTTTTTTATAAACATATAATGTATTATTAGCCCCAGGGGTACAGGTCTGTGAATCACCAGGTTTACACACTTCACAGCACTCACCATAGCACATACCCTCCCCAACGTCCATAACCCCACCCCCGCCTCCCAACCCCCTCCCTCGGGCAACCCTCAGTTTGTTTTGTGACATTAAGGTTCTCTTATGGTTTGTCTCCCTCCCAATCCCATCTTGTTTCATTTATTCTTTTCCTACCCCCCAAACCCCCCACATTGCATCTCCACTTCCTCATATCAGGGAGATCATATGAGAGTTGTCTTTCTCCGATTGACTTATTTCGCTAAGCATAATACCCTCTAGTTCCATCCACGTTGTCGCAAATGGCAAGATATCATTTCTTTTGATGGCTGCATAGTATTCCATTGTATATATATATACCACAACTTCTTTATCCATTCATCTGTTGATGGACATCTAGGTTCTTTCCATAGTTTGGCTATTGTGGACATTGCTGCTATAAACATTCGGGTGCACGTGCCCCTTCGGATCACTGTGTTTGTATCTTTAGGGTAAATACCCAGTAGAGAATTGCTGGGTCATAGGGTACCTCTATTTTCAACTTTTTGAGGAGTAGACAGATTTTTTTTTTTAAGACTTTATTTATTTATTCGACAGAGAGAGAAGAGTGCACAAGCAGGAGGAGCAGCAGACGGAGAGAGAGAGGGAGAATCAAGCCCCTAGCTGAGCAGGGAGCCCAATGCGGGACTTGAACCCAGGGCCCCAGGATCATGACCAGAGCCAAAGGTAGATGCTTAACTGACTGAGCCACCCAGGTGCCCTGAAAGGCCAGTCTCTTACGGCACCAAAGAATTTTAGAATTGGAAATGACCTTAAAATTTTTTGGTCTAGTCATCTCACTTAAGCTAAGCCATAGCAGGGTCCTATGTGGTTGGTAGGCTCTGCTCAGAAGGAAGAGCAGAGGTCCTGAAATTCTCCTCCTGGTCCCAGTTCCATTTCTCAAGGTCAAAGAGTTTAAGCACTTCTCTTCCATGTGTTAGCAGCCTTTAAAAAGCTGAAGATATTTTATATTTCATATAAACATATTTCATATGTTACATCTCTCCACTCTTTCTACCCTCCAAAAGTTTTCTCTTCTTTGGGCTAACAAGCCCCCAAACTGAAGTTCTTTTAAATATCTTTATATGACAGGGATTAATTAGTAAGACATAGATGACACTAGTATCTTTCTTTTTGTAATTATGGAAGCAAAATAGAATTATAGAATATGAAAGGCAGGAAAAATCCTAAAGCCCATCCGGGCTAACTCCCTCCTACAGGCAAAAACAATCAGGCTCAGAAAGGCAATGTCCATCCTGAATAGTCATTAGAGGGTAGCATGGAAACATCCGTAATTCTGGAAATGGAGGTGGAAAACTATCACCTCTCTCACGTTGGTCCCATGAAGATGTGGCACAAAGCACAAGAGTTTAGAAGTCGGCAGGCTCAGGCTCCGGTCACAGCTTTGCAGCTTTTCTCTGTGTGGTGACTGCATTAGGGACGCGTCCCCAGGATCCTAGTCTTCCTATTTATAAACGGGCATGATAAAGCCTGACCAAAGGTCTGTTGAAAATTAGATGTGATAACCTAAGCTAAATGGCAGGTACTTCCGCTCCCCCACTTCTGTGTATTACTAACAATCTTATCACAGAATATATTTGGGCAGGAGGGTGGGGCAGGGATGGGTTTGGGGTTGGAGAGAAACCGACAGTGCCTGCCAGTTGGAATCTGTGTAATAATGGAGTTACGCTTCAGCTGTATTTGTTTTCATATCCTATATTAATGTATTTTTGGTGCAACTTTCCAAGACTGAGCTCTTGCCCCAGGTACCTCATGTAGCCTTGTCTGACTTCTTATGTCAAATTGACTGTCCCCTCCTTCATCTCTTATCCCCCAGTACTCTGGACTATATAAACTTCTACCACAGCACAACTCCCACAACGCATTCCTATATACCGTTTTATGTCTGTCTTCCCCTGAACCACAGCATAAGCTCCTTGCACTCATGGACGAGTTATCTGAAGATAGGACATTGCTTTATCCTTACCACCATCTATATGGTTTTTCTCCTTCCTACCTTTTCAAAGGCACTGGGTAACTACTTGTTGGATGTTTTCAAAGACCATGGTTTCATGTTACTCATTATTTAAATTTTTCCCCTTAATTTTTGTGTCTAGTCCATTCTCACCATTAGGAACGTTTGTTAATATAATCTAGGTCAGAAGCAAATGAAAATGTTGGCCAGTTTATCATGTTAGAACAGGCAATATCTTCTCCAAAGGATGTCTAGTTGAATGATTTTGAAAATTGCTGGGTCTATCAAGCTAAATGGGTATCACTCCTGTTTTACTCCTAAACATCTTTGTGACATGCTCAAGTCTGAGCCTCCAAGAAGAGGATACACTATGTATTCTAGAATATACACAAACATATTAGCTCTCAGAGCACCCCTAAAAAGTGAGGGAATTGCCTTAGAGCTGAGTCCATATTTTATCTACCAGGCAAGAGGGCACTTCCCCCAACACTTTGGAACAACTGAGTACTGCAGGAGGAAGGCATTAGTCAGGAACAACCCAGCTAACGTTAGCTGACAGAATGGTTTAAAGAAAGTTTCTGGGAGTGCCTGGGTGGCTCAGTGGGTTAAGCCTCTGTCTTCGGCTCAGATCATGGTCCCAGGGTCCTAGGATCGAGCCCCGCATTGGGCTTTCTGCTCAGTGGGATCCTGCTTGCCCCCGCCTCTCTGCCTGCCTCTGTGCCTACTTGTGATCTCTCTCTCTGTGTCAAATAAATAAATAAAATAAATAAAATTTAAAAAAAAAAGAAAGCTTTCTGAACACAGATGTGTTAATTATTCTAGGAAACTTCACCTTATCATTTCTACTTCTGAATGTTATAATTAACGATACTTTTAAAGGGCATTCTGAATGAGCACACCTAGTGTTTACAATTGTGGGGATTATTACATGTAACTGCAGGAGTAGTGTTCAAATACGTCCTTTGTCTTGTGAACTGAGATTTGTGAATTGAGTGAAATTTCCACTGACAGTGCCATACGTTGTATCCAAACTTCATGGGAGAGAAGAGAAGATGTACTATGGGAAACTTCTGATGGCTCCAAAGGAATCTTTAGCAGTAGTAGAGACACAGATGTCAAAAAAGCATGAATACATTTAAAAATAAATGAGTGGGGGAAACATCTTACTTCAAAATCACTGTATTAAAATTTTATAAAATGTGATTAAAATATGTGGATGGCATTCAAAGTTTGTATATTAATGTCAGTCAAAGAGCTTTTTTTGAAACTTCTTTATGAGAGAATAAGAGATAGTTGTTTGTTTCTTTTTTTTAAGATTTTATTTATTTGACAGAGAGATCGAGAGAGCACAAGCAGGAAGAGTAGTAGAGGGAGAAGAAGAAGCAGGCTCTTTGCCCATCAGGGAGCCCGATGCAGGACTTGATCCCAGGACCCTGGGATTGGGACCTGAGCCAAAGGCAGACGCTTAACTATCTGAGCCACTCGGGCACCGCAAGAGATAGTTTTATATTCAGTTTTGCCTTTTGTTTGGGTAAATATGGTGATTTACAGAGTTCTCCAATCTCATTGGAATCTATAACTTTTTTCCATGCGTTCTTGCAAGAACACACTTGGGGAATTACTACTCTAATTCTTAGTGACAGTTTATCTGGCTGGTTCTCCGTCTCTGAGCTACCTCCACGGTCCAACCAAATCCCTGTTGAGTTAGACACAGGCCATACAACTCTAGGAATGGCCAGAATGTTCTAGTACAGCAACTGAAAACTTACACTCAGGGCAGTTTCTTCTAATGTTACCTCTTGTCCTTTCAGAGTGAGGCTGTGCATGGTCTGGAAACATTTGTTGACATGCAGTTCTTTGTGACAGACTGAATTGTCTCAATGAAAAATGGGTTCTGGGGCACCTGGGTGGCTCAGTGCGTTAAAGCCTCTGCCTTCGGCTCAGGTCATGATCTCAGGGTCCTAGGATTGAGCCCCGAGTCGGACTCTCTGCTCAGCAGGGAGCCTGCTTCCTCCTCCCTCTCTGCCTGCCTCTCTGCCTACCTGTGATCTCTGTCTGTCAAATAAATAAAATCTTTGAAAAAAGAAAAAAAAGAAAAATGGATTCTATGATGAAAAGTCTTTGACATCTTAAAACTGGTTAAAAGTCTTCAAAGTCAGAATTTCCACTAAATCAGTGATTAAATATTCTTATAATTAATTTTTGTGAAAAATATCTCAAAAGCCATCCAAGGCAATCATCTCACTTTTTAGCTAATAGAAATAGCTAGCTCCCTTCCGTGATAATCTTACATGCTTTATCTCATTTAATCCTCTCAACACTGTTGAGAGGATCCACTCACTGTGAGGTGAGTAGTAGTTTGAATGGCATGGGTTCTCTCACAAAAATAAAAAAAATACATAAGAAAGAAACCCAGTTTTTGTTTACTTGACATTCTGATTTTGAGTTCTAATTGCTAGTCAGGAATCATTAAGCTACTGACTAAGAATACAAGAGTATCTAAAATTGGGAAAGACTGTATTTCCAGAAAGGCAGTTGGGAA